AATTTATTTGGTGGGTATATGGAGTTTATTATACAGTTTTTTCCTAACTTTTTAGATATTTGATATTTTCACAATAAAAATTTTGAAAGTTGGCCTCTTTTAATAAACAAAAGTCTTTATTTCCAGGTACGTGGAGTGCTGCATGCCACCTCCTGTCAGTATGGCAGAAACTTCTGCTGTACGCGTGGCAGCATCTGTTCTTAGGAACGCCAAACAGCCCCTCCTTATCATTGGGAAAGGTAGCACTGAATGGAACTTGACATCTTCCAGGCTTTTGAAAGAATGCTGATTCTGTTTAGAAATTGTCTTTATTATTCACACCTGTTCTAAAGTTTGAAATTGAAATAAGAGTTTTCTTCATCCATGTAGCACTATTTATTAGTTTTAAAATCATAGACTTTATTCTAGAATCCCTAGAGATCTTGTCCTTTTAAAGGAATATCATTTATTGCATTTCTTTGGTCTTTTAAGTAAAATACATTTTTTTCATTATAAAAATAATGTGTGATTGTTATAAAAAATTTGGAAAAACCCAGAAGGTTGGAAAGAAGAAGTCCCTTCACCCAAAGACAACTATTTTTAACATGTATTACATTTCTATTCCTTTTTTGCATGTGTATTTTAACATACATTATGATCATACTACGTAGAAAGTTTTATATTCTACTTAATTCCTTTAACATTATAACTTTTTTTCATAGTCTTAAATATTTTCCTAAATATAAATTTTAATGTCTATTCATGTATGTACTAACACTTTACTGGCAAATATTTAAATCTTTGCCAATTTGTTTGTTTAGAATAGCTGTGACTAACATGTTTGTGCTTAAAACTTTTTCCATATTTAGGATATAAGATAAATTCCCAGAAAGAAAAGTAAGTTAAAAAGTATTCATATTTTAAGGCTTTTGGTGCATATTGTCAAATTGCTTTCTCCCAAGGTATTGTACCAATTTATACTCTTGTCAGCAATTTATTATAGTATCCACTATGTTTTAGAACTGAGGGGGCTATGAATCACTTATGACTATGTTACTCAATTATCAACTTAGGAACTAACTATGTAGAAACTAAAAATAGTTTCAACGAAAATGGTGGCTAACAGAAAATAATTGAAGTCAGAGCTGAGTTGAATGTAGCTATATGATGTGTTAGCTCTCTCTGATCTTCCAAACAACTGCTTTGAGTCTCAGATACGTCTCTTGTAAAAAAGAGATATTAACTACCTGAACAGTATTGTTACATTTAAATAACAAAATACAAAGCACTCAGTGGATGCTAATTTTCATTTTTCCTTTAACTGACATTTGATAAGTGCTTATGATAAGGCAGGGAGTATAGAAAACACGTGCGAGGTATACAGAGAAATAATGTTCTCCACCTGTTGTGAGATAGACCTGGTAACAACTAAATGCAGTATAATCTTAAGTGGTGTGTAGATTCTCAAGGCAAGAGCAACAATTTGATCATGTAGTTGGTGTGAAAGGACTATCCAAAAGAGATGACACTGGCTACACCTTGAAAATCATGTATGATAGGTCACTGAATGGACAAAGAGAGCAAAGGCAGCCAGGAAGAGAGCACTATATGAGCAAAGATATAGAGGCAAGAAGGAGAATACAAGGAAACTTTCTGGCTGAGAAAAAGCAACTACTTTTCATCGTACATGGAAACGAAAAGATTCTAAGGCAGTTTTAGGAGGGGAGCATTATACTGAATCTGAATGTGCACTATACTGTTTACTGAGATTCAGCAGAGAATTATAAGTTCCAAATATGTACTGAGTAATATTCTAGCTCTGAAAAAGAGTATAAAAACTAAATGGCTAAAAAGAACTATAGTGGCCTTGATGACATTAAACATGAAGTCATCTCCAGATTCAGACAGTGAGTTGGTTACAGTGTCATTGAAATAGGGCAGATGGTTATTTTGCAGGCACGCACTGTACAAATGATATGTGACCCACTTGGGTTAGTCCTGTTGGAGTCACAAAATTGTGTAGCCTGTGGAGAGATCTACAGAGCTTTAGAAACTTAGGCCTTTCTTAGACTTTCCATGCCTAGACTAGAACACCAGTCCAGGTTAGCTGATGGTGGGGAGCACTGTATGAGGTTAGAGAGAGCCTTCCGCCATCAGTGCAGTCCATCCTTACTTACCCATCTGAGTGAAGAGTAATTCAGTGGGACCGTAGCATGGAACAGGCGACTGAGAACAGCAAGAGATGTGAGATGCAACTTTTATTTTGGCATAGGCATCCTTCAGAATAATTGAGAATATTATTGGAGGAGAAATTAGAACTATTGCTTTCCTAAACATTTTAAAATATCCAAGATAAAAACCATAGCCATTTGTTTTGAGTTTGAAGCCCTGTGTAAGCAGGAGAACATTTGAGAAGTTCTAAAAGCAGTTTTCACATGGTCAGGGTCTGGAGCTTAACTGACTTGTCCAACACATTTGCGTTTCTTGTAGGCGCTGCTTATGCCCATGCAGAGGAGGGGATCAGAACGTTGGTGGAGCAGTGTCAATTGCCGTTTTTGCCCACTCCCATGGGAAAGGGTGTTCTTCCTGACAACCATCCAAACTGTGTAGGTGCGGCCAGATCCAGGTGCGTGGCATTCCAGATTTTAAATACAATGGGTTGGCAGATTTAAGGCTAATTTAAGTTATTTTGTGACTTTAATGACTCTAGGAGAAGTTCTAAAAGAATCATGTAATGTTCAGCACACCTGTTTCTTCTTAAGACTTTTCAGCACTTTAAAGATGTTGTCCACTGTCTCCACTCTCAGATGAGACATCTGCAGTCATTTGCATCGTTGTTCACCTATGTGTAATATGATGTTTTTCTATGGCTGCTTTCACGATTTTTCTTTATCTTTGGTTTTCAGCAGTTTGATTATGATGTGTCTGGACATGGTTTCCTTTTATTTCATCCTGTTTTGTGTTTTCTAATCTTCTAGAATTTGTAAATAGAGATCTTCCACCAAATTTGGAAAGGTTTTGGTCATTATTTCTTCCAGTATGTTATTCTACACCAGTCTCTTTCCCCTCTCCTGGAATAACACAAATATTAGGCATGTTGATATTGTCCCATAGGTCCCTGAAAATCTGTTCAATTCTTTTTAATTCTTCTGTCTCTTTTATATTTTCTATTTCTCTGCTGAGACCTTCTATCTTCCCATTTATGTCAACAATATTTTTATTTACCTTATGGAACATATTAATAGTTATATTAGCTGCTTTAAAGTCTTTGTTTACTAATTACAACATCTGGGTCATCATAGAATTAGCATCTATTCATTATCTTTTCTTTTGGAAATTGGTCTCATTTTTCAGTTTCTTTGTGTGTTGAATTATTTTGGATTGTATCCTGGAGTTTTGAATATTATATTGTGAGAGTCAGGGCATATTGAAATCCTCTGTAGAATGTTGATTTGTTTGTTTGTTTGTTTTAGCAAGTAGCTAGCCTGGTTAGGTTAAGACTGCAAGTTCTGTCTTACTGTGGGCAGCAGTAGTTCCAGGGTCACTTCAGTTTCAAAGCTTTTGCTGTGCAATTTTGGGTCTGTGCCCAGCTCAGAGGTGAGCCCCAGACATGTGCTGGTTCATATCCAAAGTTAGGGATTTCTTTTCTCGCTGGGAGGTAGCCCCCCCATCCTCTTCGGATTTCTAGGAGTTCCTTTTCCTGGCCCTTGCTGCTGCCTTATATTATAGTACCACACCATCAGTGCTGCCTTTGACGCAAAGTGGCAGAGGAAAAAGAAAGATAAAAAATGAGAAGATTGCCCCCATACTCTTCAGATGACTGGGGACCCTTTGCTCAGCTCTATTTGCCTGAACAATTATGTTTTTCTTGGAATTTTATCTGCTTGGGAGCTACCACGACGCTGCTGTGCAATAGGACTGCCCTCAGCATGGCTGGGAGAGAGAAAAAGAAAATTCTGAGCTTTTCCCGTTATGCTCTCCGGCCTACAGGGGTCCTTTTTCCTGATTCTCTGTCCAAAAAGACAGCTTTTCTCCAGGTTTTTGCAGCTCTCCAGTTCTGCACCTAGGGCTGCCTTGAGTCAAAGCCAGGAGCGGGGAAAACCTTGGAAACTCACCCGCTGTTTGGGTCACTTCTTTGACTCCCCTCCCAATCCACCTACCATTGTTCGCTTTTCAGAATTCTCAGGTAGTTGCTTTTTCTATTTTGTTCAGTTTTCTGTTGTAATCAGTGGGAGACACTCTTGGGTGGCACTGGATGTCTCCTCCTTTTAGATTTTTAAACACTTTTTGAAAAACCATACATCTTTTTTAAATTTCTTGAAATATATTATGAAATATTCTCAATATACCAACAAGAGGGAATAATTTATTGAACACTTATGTTATATAAGTTTTATCAGTTATAACATAATATTAAGTAATATGTCATTGCCTGCTTTAGAGTTTTATTTTTATTTTTTTTAAGAAACAAAAAATTATAGGTTCACTTATAGTCCCTACATGTCTTTCCTGATCCCATGTCCTCCCTCCCTCTCCACAGTTTGTCACCATTATGCATGTGGTCTTTTTCATATTGTCATGCACACATTAAAATTCATTTTGAGGGTTTTTAAAATGTAATGTTTCCTGTGCAATCTTTAATTGTTGGTCATTTAATGCTTTTTTAGTAGATTATACCTTTTTTATATTAGTATACATTGTACAGAAACCAAATGAATTCTTATACTAAGTTTTTTTTTTAAATGTACTTTAACTTGAGTTGAACTGAAGTTTATTTTCATTCCAGCCAAATTTTAAGAAGATAATATTAATGACATTAATAGTGTAAAAAAGGTTGTAAAGGGCTATAATTAATTGAATCAACAATTTCAAGGATTATAGAGTATCTATAAGCAAATCTATCCTTCCACTTGTAGTTGTTTTGTTTTTGTTTTTTAATTGGGGAACAGTGTGTTTTTCCAGGACCCATCAGCTCCAAGTCAAGTAGTTGTTTCAATCTAGTTATGGAAGGTGCAGCTCAGTGGCCCATGTGGGAATCGAACCGACAACCTTGGTGTTAGGAGAACTGCGCTCTCACCAACTGAGCTAATGGGCCGTCCCTCCACTTGTAATTTTTATCTGTTTGTTAAATTGGGACCCACAGGACCAATACAATGTATGATGATAAATTTTTTGGGTTTATACTTGAAATGATAACTGAATTTCTGTGAAAAATAGGATACACCACTGAAGAAGACAAAAACAAAAAACTAAAAACAACAACAAAAAAATCAGGTCTCTCTGGCAAAAGACAGAAAAAAAGGGAAACGGCCAAGAATCAGAAAAGTGAGAAGTAAAAAACAGAGCAACCCACAGCAATTACGATAATAAATTCTCCAGGAAAAAGGCATTTAGATTGAGTCACTAATAATGACAGTTATACACATTATAAGAGTCACATCTAAAGCAAAAAGATACAGCTTAAAAATAAAGATGTATGAGGTCAACAAAAAAGTAAGGGTAGCTATGTTATGTTAATATCAGTGTGGATGCCAAAATAAAAATCATTAAAAAATTAGAAGTTATACTGACAAAAATACTAAGATGTATAAAAGAAAACTATAAGAAATATACTTGGTGTAATATTTTTTTAAAGCAATTCATGAATGTGAATCAATCCTCTTAAAAATACCTGCTTCTAGGAATCAATATGAAGCATGTATTGAGATTCAAGCGTAAAGATGTGTAATCTAGTACTATTAATAGCAAAGAAACTATCCAGCAATTGACAAAAAGTTAAATAAACTTAATATAGGTGTTCAGCAAAATATGTATCCTTTAATTGTATTTAGGAAGAACTTAATGACAATGGAAAACATTTATGATAAGCAAAAGTGCATGAGACAGTATTATATAAGCTCAACTATGCAAAAATATACTTGCATAGAAAAAAAGACTAGATGAAAACATGTCAGGATATTAATAAGTTTATAAGTTGATAGTATTATTGGGTGCTTTTGGTGTCCTCTGTACTTTTTCTGCTTTTCACAGATTACCTACAGTGAAATTGTATTAATTTTCTTATGCTCGAAAAGTAATGAATAGAGTATAAATGTAGTCCTATGGTAATATTTTTCTATGTATTTCATTTTTTATATTACTAAATAGAATGGCATCATAAGTTATTTTAGTTTGAAAGGTCAAATTTACCATAGAAGCTGATTCTGAACTAATATAATGAAGTTCCAAATTATTTGGACTTTTCCAAATTCTTCAGAAATTAATTTTAGAATAATTCAAATAAGAAATACAGATACACTTTTTGTGTTATATCAGATTTTTCTTTGTAATAGGGCTTTGCAGTTTGCTGATGTAATCGTGCTATTTGGTGCCAGATTAAATTGGATTTTGCATTTTGGACTGCCTCCAAGATTCCAGCCGGATGTGAAGTTTATCCAGGTACTCAGAGAAGAGAGATTTAAAATCAGAGCTATGTGTAGTTGATTGTTCTCCCTATCAGCCATTACCAGCTCTGCTTTCTTCTTGGCTTTTATAAAAAAACATTTCTCTTTTTACAAGAATAGAATTTTATAAGTTGTCTAACATAATTACAGGTATCAAAGTAAGCTGCCTTTTCAAGCCTATGAAGCATATATAACGTGCCACTTCTAATCAGAAAATCTTCTAATCAGAAAATCTTTTAAAATCAAGTTTTAAATAGTTTGAAAAGCATAATTGCCTCTTCTTCATAGTTCAGGTATATTTAAAGGTAGACAAAAGAGGTTTAATTAAGTAGGATGGTAGAACAAAATATTCCACTTTGTTTGGGATTGAGTTGTTCTCTTAGATGCCAAAACTTGCCAACACCCTTTGTTTGGAAATCTCTATAAACAATGTTGCTTTTACCTATGTTATTAAACAGAGTGTTTGGAATACACTCTGACCTCCTTTTGATGACTCTTGACTTGTAATGACCCTCTTTATAAGCCAGTTTCCTTATCAGTGTGGAAAGCGCTGCCTCCAGAGTGGCGTGCAAACCTGTTTGACCTGCAGATTGTGTATGGTATTTCATCACCCAGCTACAATTGCTACCTTCTCCTTATTTACCTTTTACTTAAGGAGTCAACTTCTAATAGTCCCTTTCCCCTGGGACCATTGAGAACTGAAACCACAAACAAGGAATACCTGGCTTGTACCTGGAAGATGCTGCCACTTCTTTGATTGCCCCTCTTGGTTACAAAATAAAGTGCATCCCCTTTGGGGTGGCTGAATTACTCCTCCTAACAGAGTGTATGTTCACTTGCCCATGACCATCTAGAATGGAGCTTCTGAATACGTGGGAAGTAATCATGCCATACCCTAGGAGTGTTTTCAAAATGTGGTTCCTGGACCAGCAGCATCAAGCACCACCTGGGAAACCTGTTAGAAATGCACATTTTGGGGCCCTTCCCCAGACCTACTGAGATCAGAAACTCTGAGGTGGACTTTTGCAATCTATACAGTTCAGCAAGCCTGCCAGATGATTAATTTATGCTCAAATTTGAGAGCTCCTTCTCTAAATAGGAATTCCAATGTAATTAAATAGAACCTTACTATTGATCAGATTCAAAACTATAATTGCTCAAGTCAGATGCACCCCTGTGGGTATAAAGGAACAATACCAATATTCTACAGAGTGGATTTTAAAATAAGGGAAGATGATGAGGTTTCTATACTCGCTATGCTATTCATATAGTTCCATGGATTTTTACTTTTTTTAAGGAATTTCTTGAATATCAAACCTTTATCATATGTTATATATACATAGTTCATTTATTTAGCTTTAATCGACATCTTAAAGAATTTAAGAATAAATACGGCTTGCTCTTCAGTCTTGTCTCTCTTTAGGTTGATATCTGTGCAGAAGAATTGGGGAATAATGTAAGACCTGCTGTGACTTTGCTAGGAGACATCAATGCTGTGACTAAACAGGTAAGAGCTTTTGCCTGGGTTTTAATTTATGTGTATTGGTCTTTAGAGAATAGTTCTTTAAAATGTTTCAGTCTTGGTTCACTTGGTGACAGGTCTTATAATATCTATTTTAAACAATTTATGATGGAAAGCTATTCTTAAATATAGCTTTGGAACTTGGTAAATCCAACCTTTTGTGTATAGATCATTTTTATGTGAGTAAGTTAAGCATTTTTGGAAGGTGATTGAAAATTTAAAGGCATTCAATAGGCAAACAGTGATTTATTAAGTAGGATTCAGCTGTGTGAAAAATTATAATACAGTTTCCAAAGGCACTGAATTCACAGCCAAGAAGTGGCTTTATGTATTGGAAAAAGTCTAACTTAGTATTTCTTCAGGCATTAAAGAGATTTTTTTTACTCTTCAAAACTGTAATCAGTGACTTGTTTAGATTCGTATACCTTGTACATAATTTATACATTTCGTTGTGATAGGAGATAAAATATAGTCACATTTATCACGTGATTTTGGATATAAATTGCTATTGTTATGATTATACAGTATTAGGATACAGTCCCCAGTCACAAATTAAAACACTGGAACATTTGGCCTGTACCATAGGAATCCCTAGGTATTTGGGGCTGTTGGCCTTCCTATAAGGGTTTTATGGAGGGGGTGATTTTCCTTCTAGTGTCAAAGACGGATGAGGGCTTAAGAGCCCCAGCCAATGAGGTGGGGGGTAAGTAGCACTTTGCTCTGCCTATGGTTATTCCAGATTCTGGCAGAACTCCACACTGACCCAAGCAAACCTTTCCCTGTTACCTATTTATCTTCTATCCATTGTTTGCTGCCTACAAGAAAAACAGAGTATGAGTGATGTGAAGGGCAATATAATATAACAACAGTATTGCCTTTAAGAAAATATTTTTATGGGGCCGGCCAAGTGGCTCAGCTGGTTAAGAGCTCGCTTGGGAGTGCCAGCTCTGAGCAGCAGGGCCGCAGTTCGGATCCCACATTGAGGGCCAGTGACGCTGTGCCCTCTACAGCTAAGATGATGAACAACAACTCAGCCTGGAGCTGGGCTGCTGTGAGTTGCCAGCGACAGCATAGGCTGCAGTGGGCTGCTATGAGCTATGTGAGTGGCTGGCAGCCCGCGTGAGCGGCTGGCAGTGGGCCAGAGCTGCCATGAGCCACGTGAGCGGCCAACCAATGACCAGCGACTGATAGCCTCACCCAGGAAGAGCGCAATGATCATACCAACATGGGCCAGTGAAGCAACGTCCTCCACAACTAGACTGAAGAACAAAACAGCAATCTATCTACTTGTCTGTTCCCCTTCCCCAATTCTCCAACGCTGTTCCCCTCCCCCAATTCCCCAAAAAAATCTTAAAAAAAAAAAAAGATTTTTATGTTAATATGATTTCAGTTTATTTTCAAGAAAGAAAGAAAAAGTTTGTGCTTTTTTTAGCTTTTAGAACAATTTGATAAAACACCGTGGCAGTATCCTCTAGAGAGCAAGTGGTGGAAAACTCTGAGAGAGAAAATGAAGAGCAATGAAGCTGCATCCAAGGTAATACTGGACCCACTGAAATTCAAGAATGCTTCATATTCATGGTACAGTTCTGTCATAGCATGGCATATGCATTCCTAAAAATCACCATGCTATGCAAAATCATACAGTAAAAGCCACTGGGCTCATGGGAAAACGGTTTAGGGGCACAGCTCTCAACAACTTTGTGGAACATTAAGATAGGAACCTAATAAAAATGGTGGCAAATACACACACACACACACACACACACACACACACTCACACACACTCACACACACTTTACCTTGGAAAAGACCTGAAGTTTCTTGTGGTAGTGAGCATTGGAAGGGTTACAGCTTGTGAGTTACTGTGGTGGAAGGAGGGTGATGTAACATTGGACAGAAAGTTATAAGAGCCCATGTGGATGGGTGTGGCTTACTGTCCTCAGTTTGACCTTGACACCAAATTACAATTAAGGTCTTTTGGAGGCTTAAATCCTGGGGCATGTTGGGGCATGTTTTTCTACCTTTAAGATATAAGTTCTTCAGGGCATGCATTTTTAATAGATAGGTATTTCATTAAAATTTCAATTTTAATTTATAGCTTTTTCTTTTCTAAATTTCAGCTTTACTGAG